TTTTCTACTTTATTGCTCATTTGCATCAAGATGGATTCAACCAGTTGCAATGAAGTGGAAATATTTTGAAATGCTTGATTCTTTTAATAGAGCCATTAGGTGGCATTTTTGAAAAAATGGGGCACTTAAAAATATTTAGTGCTGCTGGGAAGATAGCTCAGTGGTAGAGCGCTTGCCTTGCATGCCTGAGGCCCTGGGTTCGATTCCTCAGCACCACATAAGCGAAAAGAAAAAAGCCGGAACTGGTGCTGTGGCTCAAGTGGTAGAGCATTAGCCTTGAGCTGAATAGCTGAGGGACAGCGTCCAGGCCCCAGAGTTCAGGCCCCACAACCGGACCCCCCAAAAAAACATTTAGTGCTGAGATTAACAAAGATGTCTGTGAGAAGTAAAGGTAAGTCACTTGGGATAACCTAAATGTATGACTTTATGGTGAAAAGTAAAATAGAAAATGTTAGTCTAAATCGCAGCTCGTATTTACATTTATGTAACCAACTATCTCCATGTGTGTATATGCGTGTGTATGTATGTGTGTGAGAGAGAAAAGCGAGAGATAGGTATTATTTTCAGGTGCTCATTACCTTTCTATCTGCATGAACTACCCTACATATTTAGGGTAGCTTCTATTGTAGTGTTGTATGAAGTCAATTTCATAGCAAACTAAAAATAAAATACAGCATAGTACATATCAAGTACTCAGTGCTCTCTACCACCTAGTCTTCTAAGCCCCTTTCCCACCTCTTCCTAATCATAGGGTTTTTATACTATCCCTGATATGGAGGACAGTGAATGATAAAGCTTGAAGAAGAATCAGAAAAATGAATATTAAATCTAATGGAATTCTTATCATTGGTAGAATTTAAGTTATGTTGTGACTTTGGAGATGGGCAGAGGTGTTTGGAAACATCTCAAAAATCTCAGTTTCCTTGAAAGACCATAATAGTTTATGTGGGTGCCTCTCTTTTTCCTCTGGGTGTTCTTTCTCTTTTTCATCCATGTATAGAAATGATTAAAATATATTTATATAACATTGTTACTAAAGCAAAACCAATTTTATCTGAGAACATTTCATATTCTAATAGGCTAATAGGTATTTTTAAATAGTATGACTCCTCCAGCCCTCCAGTAACATTGAAATTAAGTTCTTAGAAGCCAACTCTGGTGGCTCCCACCTATAATCTCAGCTATGCAGGAGGCTGATTTGAGAATCTAGGTTCAAAGCCAGTCTAGGTTAACAAATCCTCAAGACTCTTACGTCCCAATTCTCAAGACGCTTACCTCCAATTAACCAGAAAGAGGAGCTGTAGCTTAAGTGGTAGAGTACCAGTTATAAGTAAAATGAGAATGTGAGGCCATAAGTTTAAGCCCCCGTACAGGCATCTTAAATAAGTAAATAGAAAATACATAAAATTATTGGTGGGATCAGACTGCAACTTTAGCAGAATGGTACAGGTACAAAAACATAAAATGATCAATATGAATGTGGAAATGGACTTGTGCTATGTATAACAAAAATGTTAACATTCTTTTAAATTACCAAAGGGTGGGGCTGGGAAGATGGCTCAGTGATAGAGTGCTGGCCTTGCTTGCATGAAGCCCTGGGTTCCTCAGCACCACATAAGCAGAAAAAGCCTGAAGAGGCTCTGTGGCTCCAGTGGTAGATTGCTAGCCTTGAGCTGAAAAGCTGAGGGACAGTCCCAGGCCCAGAGTTCAGGCCCCACAACCAGCAAAAAAAAAAAAAACATTAAAAATTAAAAATAAATAAGTTACCAAAGGGTGTTATACATAGTAGCCCCAACTAGTGGTTTAAAATTGTAGGCGGAGTCAGACTACTTCTGTTTAATCCCTGACTTCCATATCAGACCTCTGTGAGCTAGTAAAAGTTATTCAATAAAATAGTTTTAATGGCTGAGAATGTGCCTTAGTGGTAGAGTGCTTGCCTACCATGCATGAAGCCCTGGGTTCAGTTCCTCAGTATGGCATAAACAGAAAAAGTTGGAAGTGGCACTGTGGCTCAAGTGGTATAGTGCCAGCCTTGAGCAAAAGAAGCTCAGGGGCAATGCCCGGGTCCTGAGTTCAAGCCCCAGGACTGGCAAAAAATAAAATGGTTTTAGGGAATTAATCAGAAATTACATAGTTGGTGATGATGCTTATTGTTAGCTGCTATATGATAGCCGTATGAAATTTGTTACTATCTTTGCAAGAATGCTGGTGGTGGTGGTGGGAAGATGGGAAGGGAGGGTAGGGGAAACAATAGGAGGAGGCAACAATGCTTGATAAGAAATGCACACATTACCTTGCCCATGTAATTGTAACCCCTCTGTATGGTATTTTCACAATAATAATAATAAAAAAGAATATACTTGATCTTTTTCTCAACAATTACTGTGTTTTTTAAAAAAAATTTCCTAAAGAATGTCATGATGGGAGTGGGGAGAGCTCTTGAAATTTAGTATTTAACAAAGGCTTTGCTAATCTTTAGCATAAGGGCAACTATTTCCCAGTTTCTCACTTTTCTCTTTGCTGCCAGGAAGCCAAAAGCCAAGTCCTAGATCAAACAAAACAAGCACTTACTGATGCGCACCTGTGTTTCCTTTTGCTAGTTTCTTGTCTCTTGTTTGATAATTATATTTTCTCTCGATTTTGGAGTTTGTTTTTTTTTTTAAGTCTGCAAGCTTAAATACCTGGGTTTTGTTAGTTTGTTTTGAAAGTATGAGAGGACTCTTGGAGACAGTTTAGCATCCCAGATCTAGGTTGCTAGGAGGTGACAACCTTGCCTGGCTCCTCCCCTTTCCCGGGGGAGAAGGGTCCTGTGCAGTGGGCGGTGCCTTAGCTGGAGCTGGAGGGAGTGGCGACGGGCCCGTTGCTAGGATACGGCCAGCAAGCAACAGCGCACTTGGCGGGTGCAGAAGGCTGCTTGCAAGGCTCAAGGAAACTACCTGTCCCCGAGTAGCTGCGATTCTTAGCCAGGTAGGAGGACAGGATTTGGGGCTAGCTTCTTCTGGCTAGCGCCACCACCCGGTCTTGTGCAAGTGACCCCAAGGTTGGATTGTGCGAGACCCTAATCCTGCCAGAGCTCCTCTGTCAGTTAGAAATGCTCCGCCCTTCATCTGTTAAATGCCTTTGTAAAAGCATCCTGTCTTTCTTGGCTCCTTTCCTAGCTCCTTCTTTCGGATTTGGCATCTGGAAGCAACAGCGGCCAGCTAGGATGTGTACTGCATCGCACAGCACTCGCGATTGCTTCTCTGGCCAATACCGCTCAAGTGAGACTGGGTATACACAGATCCGCCCTGTGCAAACCCTTTCCCTGAGGTTATTCTCAGTCTGTAGTAAATCCATAGCTTTCACACTTTCCTGGCCAGGCAACCTTCTCTCTCCCACCCATGATCATCACTAAATAACGTGAAAAGAATCAACAGGCCTATTTAGTAGAAGGGCGACTGGATCTGCCTTATATACTAGTATTTTGGATGAATCTAGTTTTAAATGGTAAGAGATGAAAACATGGATAATAGGTGAAAAGGTGGATTTTAAATGCAACGCTAGCACACAGCTTTTTATTTTTAGACAACGATTAAACCGTGTGAAAAGGTCGTACCTTAATGTTTAAAAATTTCAACAAACAGGGAAAACCTTTCTTTTACCCATTTTCCTCCCATCACTGTTTGACCTTCCAGAAGCAGTTTATGCATATACAAACATATAGTTGACTATGTGACATTGTGCATGCTGTTTTACAACATTCTACATCTTGGAATCATTTGTTAGTATTTACAGGCTTACTACATTGTATGTGTATGTATGCATGAATATATGTTTCATTGTGATATGTTTCTAAGCACATCTTGAGAGTAGCACATCTATAAAGTAGATTCCGCAATTGCGAGTATAATTATAACAGAAGTATTTAATTAAAACTCATAATATAATAATAGGATGTAAGGAAATGTCAAAAGGCTGTTTTGAGGGGCAAAATATGGTATTGTCATTTTAGAAATCAGTTTGATAGGATTTAACAGAAATAAGATTTGCCTGCATTTTATTTATTTACTCTAATTATAGGAGTGTATTTTATAGCATTCTCACACATGTGTATATATATATATATATATGTATGCACATTCATCACAGTCCTATTTCTAACATTACAAAACTAGAGACAGCTTGAATGTCCATCAATAGAGTAACAGTTGAATTTAATGCAATTTAGCCCTGATATGAAATTTCAGTGAACTTCTTGGAAAAAAATGTATATGAATGTCATGTTAAAGTAGAAATAAATGTTAAGGAATGCTAAGACTATGCTAAGGGGAAAATAAGTTCTAAAGCAGAATTAAAATTTAAATAGGTATAGAAAGCCAGATGCAAATTGGTGATCTCTGCTCTAATCTGTGAGAGCAGAGCTTAATGCTGAATGTACAGTTACAGAGGAGCTGGCTGGCCTAGTAGAGCTTCTAATCATTTTTAATGCCAGAGCATAAATACCATGTTAGTTTTATATTCAGCAATTCAAAAAATCCTTTTTTTTTTTTTGGCGGTCATGGGGGCTGAACTCTGGGCCTGGGCGCTGTCCCTCAGCTCTTCATCTCAAGACTAGTGCCCTACCACTTGAGCTACAGTGCCACTTCTGGCTTATGTGGTGCTGAGGAATTGAACCCAGGCCCTCATGCATGCGAGGCAAGCACTCTACCACTGAGCCTGCTTCCTAGCCCAACAAATCCTTAAGAAGACTAAGAAATGGCAGATATTTTAAAGTGCTTTTCCACATGTTCACTGAATATTGCTCTCATAATTCTTGTCTTGAGGTTCTATTTATATTAATTTTAATTTCTGTTTTTCATTAACATATTATCAGTTCTTATTTGATGCCTGTCATTAATGCCATAATAACCATCTAATGATGACCAACTTTATAGTATATTATATTCTTTATACCAGCAAAGATCTTGCTAAGAACTCTTATATAGGTAGTAAATATATTCCTTTTTCTCAAATTTAGGAACATGTCTGACCAAGAGGAAGAAGAAGATATTCTGAATGCAGCTGAGTCAACAGAGGAAAATGATGAAGCTTTAGAAAATGTCTATACTACAGTTCCCTCAGGAGAATTTCAAGAAGAATATCTAATGGAAGAGCAAGAATTTGAACTTGAGGAATACAGTGATGAGGAGGAAACATTTGTTCCTAGTGAATACACACTTCCAATGTCAGAATCAGAACAATTCCCAGAGGACTTCTCAAGTAAATCCTTAGTTAGCCTTGAACAGCAAACAACACAATATGATGAGAAAGAGTCAGAACAAGACTTAGTAAATGACAGTAATCTGACATTTTTGAATAGAATAAAGGCTGCAAAGAAGACTCTGAGCATATCATCAAAGGAATCTTCAATAACAGGTATGTCCTAGAGAACAAAGGGTAATATTTTCTTGCTTTTCCTTGTTTGATCATGTGTTTTTGTTTGAAGACTTACTCAGATTTCATGCTACTCTCCCTTGCAAATCAAACTTCCATACTGTGTGTGAAAGGTTCTCTTCTGCAATATCTATTCTTCTGCAATAAGTGAACATCATTACATTGTAAATTCATATGCAAATATATTTTCAAATGAAATAGGTTTGCTTAAGGACCTAGGAAAATGGCTGGTCAACTCTTGATTATAACTGAATTTCTATCGCATAATAATTTGCACTCGATTGTAGGATATAGCTAGAAAAGGTGGGATGAGGACTTGATACCAGATTTTCTAGATTCATATTCAGTGTTCATGCCACATTTCATGTTGCTTTTACATATTTCTGCAGTCTGCCTAGTGTTAACCTTATTTTTAGCTTTAGAAAAAAAATTTTATTTTTCATTGTAGGTCAGTTTTAAAGACATATACAAAACAATGTGGAGAGTTTGTAGGCATTCCTACATTGTTGATAACAGAGCAGTGAGACCAAGAACAACAAGGTGGTTGGGAAGAAAGCAATTAAGTCATCTTTTCTTTTCCTCCTTATCCATGAGTTCTTAGTGGAACATCATATAACAACAGTAATGTTAGCTTACTTTATCCAGTAAAATGCAGCATTTGAAAATAGCAGAGTAGTTTTTGCTTGTGTGCATACTACAAAAAAACAAATGGCAAGGAAGAAGAGAAAAGTAATGGAGCCATTATATAAGATCGGAATATGACAATTTCATTACTCAATGTAAATTTTTTTGTCAGTCCTGGGGCTAGAACTCAGGGCCTGAGTGCTATCCTTGAGCTCTTTTATTCAAGGCTAGTGCTCTATCACTTGAAGCCACAGCTCCACTTCTGTTTTTTTTTTCTGGTAATTAATTGGAGATAGAGTCTCAGGGACTTTCTAGCTCAGGCTGGCTTTGATCTGTGACCCTCAGATGTCAGCCTCTGAGTAGTTAGGATTACAGGGTAAGCCAATGGCACCTGGCTTTTTACAGAAAACATGCATTAGTATCAACTGCCATATGTTGGCCAAAGAGAGTCTCTCTATAAGAAGAGACAGTCCAATATAATCAATAAGAAAACCATTTGTGAACAGATTAAAAAAGAGATTTTTTTTTTGGTTAATGTGAAAGGAAGAGCAGTACCTTTCCTAAAACAAGCCTCTCAGCTGTGGTGACATGCACAATTATGCTACACAGTAACTCAGTGCTTCTGAGAAAGGGACTTTCTGGGAGTTAATCCGATGCTTGGCAGGTACAAACTTATAGGACACAATGATAAACGAACAGTGCAGCTCAAATCCTCAGACTTGGAAAAGCTCCCAAGCTTTCAAACTGACCTCTCCACAAGGCCAGCCCACAGCACCCAGGCATCTCCTGCAGCCACAAGACCTTCAAGCTCCATACATACCATCGTCTTCACAAGGATCTGGAAGGAGGCTGAATGCCAGAAACCAAAGCAGGTACCACTTCCGGAGACCTTGATGGTTCATCTTGCTTGTCTTGACTGCTGGCCCCAAAGGAACATTCAAATAGGGCCATATTCCTCCAGACAGAGCAATTTAGGGTTCATTGTGTATCAACAAGTTTTGTTCACAGACTGAAGGGCTTTAAAGAGATTTCATCATGACTGAAAGGTTTTCTCTCAAAGGCAGGGTTTTACATGTCCCAGGAGGACCTTCCAAAGCTGTCATTAGAGAACTGGTTGTGGATATGACATTAATACACACACCTATCATTCATGTAGCCAAAGGCTTCATCTGAAATCTCTCCTTACTAAGCCTGTCCTTTGCAAACCAGTCTTTTGTCTTCAGTACAGATTCAGGGGGAAAATAATTTGCTGGAGTTCTAATAACATTTTCATGATAAAGCAATATCAAAATAGGTCCACTTTGGTATAAAGTTATGATAACATAAGGAAATTCAGAGGACTTTGTAAACCATCAAGATTTCACAGGGGTAACGGGGCTCTAGGCAGCAGAAAAGGGACAAGTGTACTAACAGAATTCACCTCCCTCCCCAAATCCCCGAGAGCATACAATACTGAAAGACTAATATTCAAGTGCCAGGAGAATCATGAATGAGTACTTCACTTTAAATTTATCAGTAATATTCAAGACAAAGTTTTGCTTCCTCAACCCTGACATGGGTCAGTTTCCCTGCCTATGAGAGACATTTAGGCTAGAATACCATTAGGTACTGTTATGTAATTCTCTAATAACAAATCCATAGTTACCTAGAACATGTCTTGGTCCTTACTTTCTGAACATTATAAACATTTTAGTGTATCTCCCTTTCCCACAGCTCAATATGCCCCTAGTATGAAAGTTTTAAAATGTTTTCACTAATAACAACATTTAAAACTATTACAACTTTCTGTACCCATAAAATAATTAAAATCACAACTGATCACAACTTTTAAAAACTAATCACAAATTTCTGTACCTGTAAAACAATTAAAATGGACTTCTGATGTTTTAATATCTGTTTAACATTGGACTGCATCCTTTTTGTTCATATAGATTTGTAAGAAAAGTTTTTAACAAGCTTAAATAATTCTAATCTTGTTAATACATAAGTTTTGTAATGGGATTGATTGTTAATGTATGTCTCATATAGCTTTATGAAAATGTCAGGTTTAAAATCTAGAAATATTATTTTTTACACTTACTATGCATTTTACGGTCCATATTAATATATAGTCTTTATTGATATTTAAAGACTATAGATATAAAAGAAAAAATAGTTCAGTAATAGTTTTTTTTGTCCGTTTGTTTTTTTTTTGTTTTTTGTCAGTTTTAGGGCTTGACCTCAGGGTATGAGCCCTGTCCCTGAGCCTCTTTGGGCTCAAGGCTAGTGCTCTAACACTTGAGCCACAGCACTACTTCCAGTTGTTGAGTGGTTAATTAGAAATAAGAATCTCACGGAGACTTTTCTGCCTGTGCTGGCTTCGAACCATGACCCTCAGATCCAGCTTCCTTAGTAGCTAGGATTACAGGTCTGAGCCACCGGTGCCTGCCTCATAATAGTTTCCTTCTTCTTCTTCTTTTTTTTGGTCGGTCGTGGGACTTGAACTCTGGGCCTGGGCGCTGTCCTGTGCTCTTCGGCTCAAGGCCAGTGCTCTACCACTTGAGCCACAGCAACACTTCCAGCTTTCTAGTGGTTCATTGGAGATAAGAGTCTCCTGGAGTTTCCTGCCCGGGATAGTTTTGAACTTTGAACCTCAGATCTCAGCCTCCTGAGTAGCTAGGATTACAGGCGTGAGCCACCGGCACCCGGCCAGCTCATAATAGTTTTAAAGACTATTTCTTTCCTGTAATTTGTGAAGAATAATCATTTGATGATAACATTTTTATTTTTACCATTCAGGTATCTTCTTTTGTTTTGTATAGTGAAGTGTAAGGTAGACAATGTCAGTGATTGTGTAAAGTGTATTTAATTGTATTTTATGTATTGTATTGTATTTTATTGTGAAGGTGATGTACAGAGGGGTTACAGTTACATACATAAGGTAATGAGTACATTTATTTTCTAACAGTGTTACCCCTCCCTCTCTTTCTCCAACTTTCCCTCCCATCCACTCCCTTCCCCCTGAAGTTATAAGGTTTATTTCCAACAGAGTATCTAATGAGTATCACTATTGCATTGGTTCCCCCTTTGTCCCACCATTTCTGTGATTCCCTATCCTTTTTCCAAATCAGATAAACTTATCTACAAGACAAAGGGCACTGAAATCAGAAACAGTGACCACAGGGAATAATAAACCAGAGGACAAAAAAAAAGACAAAAGAAATAAACAGTACACCAAAAAAACAAAACCAAGAACAAACAACAACAGCACAACAACAACAACCTCTTGTTTCCATATCTTGGAGTTGATTTTGATTAGCATCATTATATATATTGTCATATGTACCTAGCTATGGAGCTATTGTGATGCTCTGCTAGGACTATCATAGGCATAAACTAATTATTACAAATGAGGGAAACCTTGGAGCCTATGTTTCTTTGGGTCTGGCTTACTTCACTTACTATGATTTTTTCCAAGTCTTTCTGTTGTTTTTTTTTTTTTCAAATGTTTGTGGCTCCATTCTTAGTCACTTCTCTTCTACAGTTGAGTGTGCTGGGGAAAGCAGCAACCTGCATTCTATGTGATTAATAATCAGCTCATTAGGAGTGAAAGTGTGGCTCAAACGGCAGCACCCTGCTTAGCAAGCCTGCAACCCCATTCAAACCCCAGTACCACAAAGACAAGCATAATAGTTTTCTGTTGTAATCCCAACTACTTAAGAGGCAGAGATTGGGAGAATCACTGTTTGAGTCTAGCCTCAACAAAATGTTAGTGGGACCCCATCACAACAAATAAGCTGGGTGTGGAGATATGTACCTGTCTTCTCTCGTACATGGGAAGTGCTGGGCAGGAGAATCATTGTCTGAGGCTAAGCCCCAAGGGGGAAAAATGGAAACACTGCTTGAAAAATAAAGCAAAAAAGGGCCTTGGGCAAAGCTCAAGATCCTGCCTAGCAAACATGAGGTTCTGCGTTCAAATGCTCCTCTCTCTCTCTCTCTCTCACACACACACACACACATCTGCCTGTAATTCTGTACATGATTGTGGAGGGTAAATAAATTGCTGGCACTTGCTTTATTGGACTGCCATTATATCCTTTCTTTTTTTTTTCCTACAGTAAAAGTTGTACTTGTTCCCATTGGCCAGGAAATTACAATGTCTTTTAAAGTTGACTGCATGATTAAATACTTCAAGGATCATTTTTCACAGTTATTAGGTATCCCAGCCTATGCACTGCAGGTAAAATATGCAGGTAAGTTTGGAGGCTAATATATTTATCAAGACTTTTCAAGATTGAGCATATGAACAATCTAGATTTCTGATTTCTTTTTTTTAATTTTAATTTTTTACTTTTCTTTTTTTACTGTGAAAATACCATACAGAGTGGTTACAATTACATGGGCAAATAGTGAGTACATTTCTTATCAAGCATTGTTACCTCTTCTGTTGTTTCCCCTTCCCATCCTTTCCCCTCTCCAATTCCTCACCCCTCTCTTTCTGATTTATTAAATGAAATATTTGAGTATTTACTATTTTAGCATAGTATGGTTTTGTAGTCATTCAGTTAACACACTTCTATCAAAGAGCCATTCTGTTCTAGATACTTTGCTAAGAACCTAAGAATCATGACACATGATTCATGTTCTTAACTTGTTTCAGAATAGTAAGAAAGCATGCAATAACTACCCATAATGCACAAATGTTAAAACGAAATTGGGGCCAAAGAGGAACCTGTAAGATTTTAGAAGTTTTGATTAATTAAATATTCATACTTGTGCTAAATTTCAAAGGGATGAGAAAACCTGGAGCTCTTAGGTAGTGTTAAAAAGTTTCTAATCAGGCACTGGTAGCTCATACCTGTAATCCTAGCTACTCAAGAGGCCACCCTGGGAAGAAAACTAAAAAAGATTCCTGTCTCTAATCAACTAGCAAAAAGCCAGTAGTGGAGGTGTGGATCAAGTGGTAGAGCATTAGCCTTGAGCACAAAAAATTCAAGTGAGCATTTGAAAATATTTTCTGAGTTTGCTGTATATTGATATATAATATCAGGTTTATTAATAGTTTGTGGATGATAGTAAAAAGCCATACTGAAGTTATATAGTCTTGTGTGATCAGATATAGTCTTCATACCTCTGATAGTAAATAAGACTAACAACTAAATTCTTGTTTTTATAGAATGTGCACAAACAAATCTTCATATTTTAGCTTATACAGATCTGTTACTGACTTATAAAAATGATAACAAAAGTATCCAGAAGGGAAACAATTCAATTTCAAAAAAAATTCATGATAGTCAATGTATACACTCTTAAATTTAAGATTTATTCAATAACTGATTTGATTTGGAAAACCAGGTCAAATGTAAACAATTAATAAGAATAGTGATGATGCATGCTGATTCTAATGATTAGTTTATTGAGTCCTTAGCAGATGTTAGAATTTCTATAAGAGGTCTGTCTTATCACTTAATCCATGTACTGTTCCTCTAGGGTAGGTAGTAGTATCACCATAATTATTGTTGTTGTTATTAGTTGTTTTTTTCAGAAAGAATCTAAAACTGAGGGAACCTCTGTGAAGTCATATGTCCAACATTTCAGTCTGAAAACCTCTGTGAAGTCACATGTGCACATTTCAGTCTGAACTGAAAAATTCTTAAAGACAAGGATTGTTTTATACAGCAAGGAGTTAAGCCAATGGAAACTGTACAAGTGGAAATATTTTCTACATGCACAGTCTGAACTGAAATGTGAGGGAATTAAAAACTGCTAGACATTAAATCAAAGCTGAAGTTCCACACTGGAGAGGAAAGAGCTTTCTACCTGGTGATACTTAAGATCTCTCTATCCTTTGCCCTTCCTTCCCTATGAGTACCAGGTATTCCACAGGGTAACACTTCATGTTAGTAGCAATAACAAGATCTCGATTCTATACCAGACATTCCTTAAGACAGATGCCAAGGGACATCGCTAGGCCTTGAGTTCAAACCTAAGAACTACCTGTCTCCCTCCTCCCTCCCCCCCAAAAGAGGGGGAAATCCTTAGTAGGGAACTTAGTAATTTAATGATCTGGGTTTCTATGAACTCCTTAAAATGAGCATATATATAGTTAGTCATTGCTATAGCTTATAGTACATCCTGGCAACTATAATTTAATAACCAGGTATTATATATTGTTGAGTACCAGAAGCTCATCCCTGTAATCTTAGCCACTTGTGAATCTGGGATCTGAGGATCGTGACTTGAAGCCAGCCCAGGCAGGAAAATCTGTGAAGCTCTCTTCTCCACTAAACTACAACATCAAAAAGGCCACAAGTGGAGTTGTGGCTAGTGGTAGAGTACTATCCTTGAGTAAAAGAAGCTCAAGGACAGAGCCCAGGCCCTGAGTTCATGCGGCAGGACTGGTACATGTATGTACTCTCCCATTTAAATTCCCCCCCAATATATTGTATAACTGAAAATTTCTAAGATAATACATTCTTAGTGTTCTCATCACAAAAGTGAGTAATGAATATATAAATTATTTTGATTTATTCATTCCTCATTGTGTACATGCATCAAAATACCACGTGTGCCATTTCAAATACACACAATTCTATTGCTCCATTAAAAGGAATGTCGACAAGAAGTAACCCTTTCTCTGTTAAAAAAAGAAAAAGAAAAACCACTTTAAATTTTCTTTCTTTTTTTTTAGGAAAAATTCTTAAAGACAAGGATTGTTTTATACAGCAAGGAGTTAAGCCAATGGAAACTGTACAAGTGGAAATATTTTCTACATGCACAGATATATTTCCAATCAAAAGAATAGAAGGATTGCAGCCATTTTCTAAAATCATTTCAGTCAGTGTTCAAACTGGTGAGCTATTTCTTGCCTTTCGGATGAAGCAGTTGAATCCCTTTGTAGCTGCATTTCATCCAGTCTTGGTTTTATCCCCATAGGCACTAATCAGTTCAAGGACATCACTGTGGAGTTAATAAAATCTGACTTCCACAAGCCATTCCTTGGTGGCTTTAGACATAAAATAACAGGAGTGGAATATCACAATGCTGGATCACAAACTGTGCCTAAAAAGATTCCCTATAAACCCAATCGGTTTTGTAGAGATACGCAGGTGAGTGTTTTCATATTTACATTTAGGTTTACATAATTATAAAATCAATAACTGCTATATACTTAGTGATTCTCTCAAATTAAATTCTCCTCACTGTGTGACAGTTAAGACTGTAAAAGAAAAATGGACTGTGTAGAAAAATATTCTCTTAAAAATATATGTATATGGTAGATTCTTTAAAAATTTTTAATACTTTGCTTTAGACAGTTACTGAGAAGAAGAGATTACAACAGACTACAAATACAACATCCACACAAATGACTAAGATCGGTGTGTATGTAGCAAATATGACAGATAAACTGGCCGTTCCAGGGCTATATTTTACAGCAGCACAATACCATCTTCAAAGGTTAAAGGCGGTAAGATTGCTTCCCGTTCCCTTCCCTTCCCTTCCCTCTTCCCCTCCCTTCCCTCTTCACCCTTCCCTTCCCTTTCCTTCCTTTCCCTTCCCCTCCCTTCCCTCTTCTCCCTTCCCTTCCCTTCCCTTCCCTTCCCTCTTCCCCTCCCTTCCCTCTTCACCCTTCCCTTCCCTTCCTTTCCCTTCCCTTCACTTCCCCTTCCTTTCCCTTCCCTTCCCTTTCCTGCTGGTACTGGAGCTTAAACTGACTCTTAAACTTAGGGCCTTGTGTTCTGGCTCAGAATTTTTGCTCACAGCTGATGTTCTGCCACTTAAGCCACACTTCCAGTAAGTACCAAGATAGCTTTTACTTGGGATGAACTCTGAAAGTTAAGTGAGTAATTCAGTGTATAATCCATTTGTTCGCTCTCTGTCTTTCTGTGTCTCTGTCTCTCTGTCTCTGTCTCTGTCTCTCTCTCTCTGTGTGTTCTCTAAGCTATATTAGACTGAGAAATAGTCTACTGGAGTGTGAGTCGCCTTTCACTCCTGCTGAAATACCTTTTATCTCCAGTATTCCCAGATCAGTAACTGATTCTTCCCTGATTCTTCTACACCTGATTCTTCCCATTCCTTTGAGAATCTCAAGTCCTTTGTGAGTTGTGGGTTGCCTTTGGCCATCAGTAGTCCCAGTACTTATGACCCTTACCCTTACTATTTCACAGTAGAAGCATATAGGTAATGTTTCAGAGTAATTGCACCCCAAATAGGAATCCAAGTCTATTTTCTCTTATGATAGCCACTCCAGCACTTATTTTATTGTTTATATGCTGTATCTTTTTTCACCTCCTTTTGTTCTCTTGTAGATAATAGGTATCTCTTAGTGTCATTTATCTTTGTATTTTTAATTGTAAAGATACTGTACAGGGGTTACAGTTACATGAGTAAGGTAATGCTCCTGTGGAGCATTGTTACCCCCTCCTTTGTTTTTAGTGTCATTTTTGTTTGGTTGGTAAAGATGACCCAAGAGCAGTGATTTAAATTATTTACACATATATATTAAGCAACTGGAAATTTGGAAGTAGACTGTTTTTCTAGCCTAATTATCCAACGATATTGAGAAGTGAACTTAAAGCCTATTGATTCTTTAACTTGAGGGAGATGTGTAACCCTGGGGCTAGTTTAAATCTGGTTTGATGAGTGCAAATTATTCCAGTCTGTTTAACTTCGTTAGACTAACCAAACAAGGGGAAAGATGAAGTTTTACAGAATGTGAGGGAAACTGAATTTTCGGTGGAAGTAGTCTCTATGGGTAGTCTTGATTCACAAAGAAGGCTGTGTGTAAGTGGATCCGCCTCAGGGTCTGGACTGGGAAGTGGATCACCGTCTGGTTCCCTCCGGAGCAAAGTTGAAAGGCTCGTCGATTGTTGTGTCTTCTCTGAAGTTCACTGAAGTTATACCTTGGTTGTAAATCAAGGCTGCTTTTCTGTCAAAGCGACTTGGATCCTTAAGGCAAGGGTGGGATGTCGCATTCTTACTGATCTCATTTCAAACAGCAACGTAGTTGACAGCTTATGAGCCTAGAGAACAAGGTTTCTTGGTAATAAGAGAATCATAGTCCTTCCAAGAATAACATTGCTATGACATTTCATAGTCATAGAGCATCCGTGGGAGAAATATTGTTTCCTGTTCCCTTTGTTAACTTTGTACCTGACTTAAGTAGCACCCGATTCCAGACTTTTCCCTGCTAATTTTTACTTTCTCACTGTATGTATTGAGTTTGGATGGTGGCTGTACAGTTGTATTCTGTCTTTCCAGCTCATGACTCTCCTCATGAATTTGTTACAATTCAGTGGTAAAATTTCTGACTACAAAGCACCATCAGGCCAGCCTTCTGCAAAGAAAGGAGAACAGTCAAGGGAGCATGTCTTAATGTGTACAGTGTTTAAAGGCTTCCCCCAAAGCTTTGCCCAATGACCTCCAATTACATCTTACTGGTCAGCCTAGTGTCACGTGACTATCCCTAGACAAAAGTTTGTGATAAATACATCTTCAAAGTAGCATGTTGCTCCTCAAAAATGTTGAGATTTTTCTTAGGAAGAGAAAGTAGTGAAGATGGGATATTAGGTAGAGAAATAGAGCTCCGGACACCACTTTCTAAACTCCAACAATAATAAAGGGATTTTTGTTTCTTTAGTGTATATATATATGTGTGTGTGTGTGTGTGTGTGTGTGTGTGTGTATGTATGTATGTAAGTACACACACACACACACACACACACATATACAAGGACAAAGAACACATGAGACTAGAAAAGAATAAATGTCAGCATGATGTCAGTTGTAAAACAGATGGACAAGTGTTAATTTTACTTAACTAGCAGAGAAGGTAAAATCTAAATGACTACCAAAGTGGATAGCATCAGTGGCCACAAAGATTTGTCCCACAGAATCTTGGAAAGTAAGTTGGAGGTTTTGTGAGAGGTAGAAGTGAGGAGTGAAGTATAAACAGGGAATAGTCAAAAGCCAGTATGGTGTAAACTTCCAATTAAGAAGTCTTTCTTTCTTCAGTGATTCATTTCTACTTGGGCCATGTTTGCTTTATTCTTTCTATGGCTTCTATAGTTTAATGCTTAGTATTTGGTTTAGAATTTCCTTGTTTTAGGCAGGATTATATTAGACATAAAGACTGGTTTATATGTACTTGATACTGTGATCTAATCTTGTTTTACTTAATCATTCTTGTTGATTTTTTATTCATTTATTGGCCTTTTCTCATTCTTAATCAGTTTGGTGAAACTTTTTCATCGTGTGAATCTTTCATAGTTTAGAGGTAAGCACCTTACCCATATTTTTTTTTATTGTAAAGATACTATACAGAGGGTTACAGTTACACGAGTGAGATAATGAGTACACTTCCTCTTGAACATTGTTACCCCCTCCATTGTTTTCCCCCTACCATCCCCTCCCTCCCTCCCTTCCCCGAGGTTCTTTTTTTTTTTTGATTGTGATTAAGTGATTACATAATTTCCAGAATTTCACAGTATTGTGGAATAATGATGCTTATTTAAAGTCACAAGTTCATTCTAACTTTCCTGGAGCAAATTGTCTATCACAGTCTGTAACATATAATGGTGTTCACATGTTATACACCATACATGTGATCAGCAGCATGGGGATATTTAGTAGTGGTTCGACCAGATGAGTCTTACCCATATTTTTCTAACAGTTGCTAATAAAACTTTTAAACATATCTTTGTTTTCTACCAAAATGTATGTCACTGGACTGTGTATTTCCTCCACAGACAACTGAAGGACCTTAACAGACTTTACCTCACATCTTCCACCATCATTCCTCTTATCTACTGAAGGAATTAGAATTATTTACTGTATAAGTACAATTGTAGATCATTGTTTTTACATACTTAAGATAGTACATGTCTGATATTAAAAAATATATTTAGCTTAATATGAAAATTTTCCTCATTGCTGTGATTTTTCCCTCTTCAATCTATTCTAACTGGAATACACCTCCAGTAATTCTTTCAGTTACTACATAGGAAGTAATACACTCAAATCCATACTAGTTAAACCTAATATGTGTGTTTTAGTTTGAGTTTAGGTCAAAATCAAACCAGAAATCTTTTTTCTGAATTACTTTGAAGTTCTAATAAATTGTGAATTGGATATCAATATGGTTCTCATTTTTTGTTTTCTCTTTCTAAAAGCTTTTAGAGTCCTTAATTTATCTGGTGTTCTGTAAGAGTGCGATGTATTTGAGGCTCAATAATAAACCTTTTGCACCTTTGAATTTTAGGACCTGTTTATTACCTATTGAGTAATTTCTGTACTCAACTTTCTTCATTTCCTCTGGAACTCCAAAGAGATATATTTTGGAATGTCTGGATAAATCTTTCATATTTCTAGTTTTTCCTCAAATCTTTCTAATTTTTAATGATCTTTACCTCTGTATTCTAAAATATATTCCTATATAACTTTTGCCTATTAATGCCTTCACCCATATATACATATACATATATGTTTGGATAGTTCTATGACTAATCATATCTGTAAATCTATTTGATCTATCAGATATGCATATCTGTTCTACAGATTAGGTAGATGACAACAACTATCTCTCTACTAACAATCATCCTCCCACTCAAGTTAACTTTTACCTGGATTCATGACATATTCAGTGACTCTATGTAACTAAGATCTGGACAATTTAAGAGGCAATGATGTGAGGTACATCTGAGTATTTTCTCTGCGAGAGTTCTTTTTACATCTTCCCTTTTCCTGGCTGGAAAATAATGGGAAGTAGACCAGCCATGTGGGACATCTAGGTAGTAAACAATTTTTTAACTATGGCAGAGTTTTCTTATGAGCTCTAAACTGCCTGTTCATACCTTGTTTACTACATGAGGTTAATAATGTGTCTGTTATTTAAATAATTATATTTTTGTTCCATTTATATATTTAACAAGGTTAAGAGCACCTAAGCTAATGTATAACATATTGACTTTTATACACATTTTAAAAAGTGAGAAATTTTGGTGGCCTTTTAATTGATTGCCTTATACCAATAGCTTTTTCTTTGCTCTAAAAATATTAACTACTTCTATTCTGACCTTGGGTTCTGACTTTGTTTTACTTTAGTAAAGTGGCCCTAAAACTTTATCTTCAGTATGGATCATTACCCACAATTCTGTGCTCCATACCAATTTCGGATTCAAGAATTCTGGCATGAGGCCCGAGAATTTACATTGCTGTTGATATAGGCTACCTCTCTTAGAAGAATGTGATTCTAGTAATTCTGCTTCAAAGTCATATCAGTTCTTTGTTGGAGGTCTTTTTATACTAATGGCTTTTTTCACATATTTGGCTATCCTTAAGTACTCACAGAAAACAGAGATTCTTAGTAGACAACATGCTAACAGCACAATATGCCAGAAACACAACCCTGTTGGTTTGACAGTATAACACTATCATCAGCCTTTGGGAATACTACTCACATTTTTCTAACATCAAATATTTCTGCCACTCTTTGCCTAAGTTGCTTTAGAGGTGCTCTCCCCTTTGCAATTTTTAAGTAGCTACCTGGTTAGTTGCTCACCTGGCTCATAGCATCCTCCAGTGTTGGGATTACATCAATTGGAGAGCCACTTCTTGTGTTTCATTAGGTGCAGAATTAGGTTACAGACTCCTCTGCCTTCAATTTACACAATCCACATCAAGTATGGAATCTTCTAGTTTCTGTTTCTTTGGAGGATCTCAAAAGTGCCTTCCAGTGTCTCTATTGATTCCTTCTCTACATATGCTCTCTGTAAATATCTGGCATTTGGGTGATAGAAAGAAATGTGTCAGTCACACAGGTTTGGTCTTCAATCTTGCAGTGACAGCTCTGCAGTTATTTATCATAAACCTTGCACCTATTTCATGAACTCTTTGATGGTGTAAGCAATGGCATACTACCAAATATATTACAGTTCATACAGTTTAATACTTATTTGCTTTAACCTCCCTTGTTATCTAAGTTGCCTCTGATTGTTTTCACACATATCTTACTGTGTTTAGGAGATGCAGTTTTGCTTGAAATATATGTTTATGCTTCCGGCAATTAATTTAGCTAGAGATAACTATTTGTGCCATACTGGGGCTTGAGCTCAGAGCTTGCTTGGCTTTTTAGCTCAGGCTAGCACTTTACCATTTGAACCACACCTTCACCCCCAGCCTTTTCCTGGTTAAATGGAGATAAAGAGTCTCCTGAACTTTTCTTCCTGGGCTGGTTTTGAAATGTGATGCTCAGATCTCAGATTCCCACTTAGCTAGGATTACAGGCGTGAGCCACTAGCACCCAGCCACACATTGCAGCCATTTTTGAGGGCAGGTACCAGCTTAGGCTCAGCACTTTCACGTACACTATCATTATCTTTATTTTACAGATGAGGATGAAAGAGCACAGAGATGTAAAGTAACTTAATCAACATCAGACTAGCAAGTAGAAGAGAGAAGACTGAAACCAAGTTTTACTTGAGTCTGTACATCATCCTAAGGGCTTACTGTAGATTTCAAAATGAAGGAGCACTGACATAATTTGTCCATGGATTTTGATTCTGTGTGTGTGTGTGTGTGTGTGTGTGACATAGAACTAAAACTACACTTTCAAAATTGTTTTATTGCTGAATTGGAACTGAAATAATCCTTGTGTCTTTCTTCATTTCATAGTCTGATCAACAACTTTTCATTTGTTTTACATTTAGGTGATAGTAATCCAGACTTACTATAGACGATGGCATGCTAAAGTCTATGTAGAGGGATTGAAAAGAGAGAAACAGGTGAGGCTGGATTGGGAAGTAGAGGAGCAACTAAGAAAGAAGAGAGAGAAAGAAGAATGGATACAATCAGACTACAATCGGAGGCATGATCCTAAACTAAACGAAGATTTTGAGCTTCTTTTTAATGCACTGGAACGTAAGTTAGACATGACATAGTCTTTGAAATAAAGTATTTAATTTTTTGAATCTTTTATTAATAAGAAAAACTTTTATTGAACACTAAGAAGATCTTATTATTTTAGGGAGCTGTCTTGGGAATCTGAACTAGAGAATTTAGAGGAATGAATAACATCTTACATCTGAGATGAGAATTAAGGCTGGCATGTAATTGGAAATGGTTTTATATTAACAATTAACAACAAACATCTTACATCTGAGATGAGAATTAAGGCTGGCATGTAATTGGAAATGGTTTTATATTAACAATTAACAATAAGTGTGCATATACAATGCTGTGTGAATTGCAAAGTTTAAGTGCACTAGTTCATTGGATCTTCATTCATGTGAGATAGAGAAAAAACTACCTCACCTGGTTTCTGAGGTTCTTGACAGTTTGTGAAGCTGGAGTAGAGCAGTTAGATCTCTCAATCCAGCATTCTGTCTATGAATGCTCTTTACAATGTGAAATTGGCACTGCCATGTGTGTGTGTGTGTGTGTGTGTGTGTGTGTGGTGGTACATAAGAGATAGAGAGAGAAAGAGGGGGGAGGCTTAATCAGAGGGCCTTACTGCTATCCATGAGCTTTTTCCTTTTTGTGTTCTATCCCTTGAACCAAAGTTCTAGTTCCAGCTTTTTGCTGGTTCATTGGAGATAAGAGTCTCATGGACTTTCCTGGGCTTCAAATGTGACCCTTAGATCTCAGACTCCATACATAGTAGCTAGAATTAACAGTGTTAGCCACAGGTACCTGGTGGCAATGCCTTTTTAAGGCTGCTCTAATGTTAATGCCATATAACTATACCTTGATACATCCACGGGATGTATAGTAGTGATTGATAAATTGAAAGCTTCAGTTTGGACAAGACAAGAACTCTTTATTCAGAGCAATAGATAAAGTATCCCTTTCTTGGAGCTCTTTCCTTATTGTCCATTTTTAAATCTTAGAATAAATATTCCCCTAATCAAAGGGTTTTTTTTTCTAAGTAACAATAGAATTCAGATATCCTATAGTCATCCAAGTGTCAAGATAGATACATATGTGAAACTATTCCATGGTAAATGCTTATTTACAGAATTTCTATGTTAAAGTAAAACATATTTTATGTGAATCCAGACATGGTTTTTCCTGAGAAAACAAAAAAACAGAACAAATGAAATTTCTTACACAAGAACCATCTCTCTGTTTTTCCCAGTGCATCCCAAAATTATAAATTAAAGCTTAGTACAATAATTTTTTTTGTTGTAGTTGAAATCTGGTCCACAAACTCAACGATTTATATTCCTTTCTATTTAATATAGTTTTTTTTTTTTCTGTTCACATTTGTAACTCCAGTCCTTGAGACTGCTGCCCTCTTGTGGCAAATAGTGACAATTGTAGTTTAAATCTTTTTTTAAAAAAAATTTTTATCAGTTGTGGGGCTTGAACTCTGGGCGTGGGTGCTGTCCCTCAGCTCTTAAGCTTAAGGCGAGTGTTCTACGACTTGAGCCACAGCACCACTTCCTAAATCCTTTTTTTTTTTTTGGGTCCGGTCATGGGGCCTGAACTCTGGGCCTGGGCGCTGTCCCTCAGCTCTTTAGCTCAAGGCTAGCGCTCTACCACTTGAGCCACAGCGCCACTTCTGGCTTTTTTCGTTTTGCTTATGTGGTGCGGAGGAATTGAACCCAGGGCCTCATGCATGCAAGGAAAGCACTCTACCACTGAGCCACCTTCCCAGCCCCAACCACTTCCTAAATCTTAATTCATGATACAAAGCTTGAATATTAAAAACAAGAGCAGTTAGGAATAGTGATATATATATATCTGTAATCTGAGTAAACAGCAGTCTGAGGCAGGAGGATTGTGAGTTCAATGCCAGGCTGGGTTACATAGTGAGAACCTGCTCAAAAAAAGCTACATATATTATTCGGAATAAAGATCCCATGTTAGGATTTTTTTTTTTTTTTGTGGAATTGAGGCTTGAACTCAGGGCTTCAAGTATGTTTTATCAGGTGCTTTATCACTGAGCCTATGAGCACCTCCAGCTCATTTTTGCACCAGTGCTTTTGAGGTAGAGTCTGACTTTCCACAGGGACATTTGCACTGTCTGGGAGCTGCCTATTTTAGGCTTCTCATGGTAGCTGAATGACAAGCACTTTCTGCCATATTTTTCTGATGTGATAGGGCTTCATGAACTTTTCTGCATTCGCTGACTTGAACTATGGTCCTCCCAATCTCATTCTCCCAGGTAGTTAGATTACGGGAGTAAAGCACCTGTCCTCCACTTGTGTCTGGCTTTTAAAATTCAATATGGTGTCATGAGCTTCATCTATGGTATCATGTATAGTTTAACTTGGTTCATAGTTATTTCCAAAGACTATGTCACTGCATGAATATAGCACAGTCTATTCATTTTACGGTGAATCTTTCCAAGCTTTCCCTCTAACTCTGCCCCATTTTGGCAAACACAAGCATGTTTTGGTGAAGATATGTAGGTCAATCTTGGGTGTAAATCTAGGACCTTAGTGGGTAATTTTTTTTTCAGAGATGGTTCTGGTTTATAGCCCTGCAGGAGATATGAAGGTTTGAATTACCCCATCATCCTGACTCACATTTGGCACTTGCAGTTTTCTGGAGTGTGTTCATGACTAAAACCTGCCTGATGATTGACTCCACATCCAGTAGGTGAGCTCACAGGATTTCAGCGTCAGTGTGAGGCAACCCCTCTTACTCATAAAAAGTTTTGCTTAGAAATGAGGCAAGCATTCTTGGTCCAGGCAAGAAGATTAAAGACACAGAAAGGGTTAGGAGAGAGGATTTGAAGAGGTCGAAGTGGCTTCTGTAGAGGGAACTATTGCTGTGCTTTTGAGTGACAGGCCGTGAGGGTTGTGATATTGGTTGACTACACGCCTGTTGAGAAAAAATTCAAGACAGCCTTTTTTGGGAACTTTGAAATAAGTTTCTTTGGGAAACATGGAAGATGAGGACCTAAACCTTGCCCAAGATTGTAGATTGGGGACTGACTCCAATAAGAAACTAGAGATCTAACAGAAAACTAGATCACTTTGAGATTTTGCTATAAACTGAGACGTACATCACTCCTAGATTTTTTTTTTTTTTTTGCGTAGAGGTATCTAATTGTCTTTACCAAACCAAGACTACACAATATAGAGAACAAGAGTAGGAAGAGGTCCTCTCACATCCTGTCCAAAAGGCCTACCTGTAGACATGACAAGGTTTTTGTCAGAAATAAGTAGATCCTTGTGGAGTGGCTGTCGGGAGGGGCTGTCTCTGTTGGTCAATGGGACTTGAAGGAAGGAGAGGTCAGTTCAAAAGCCCTTGGAGTGAGTGTGAATTGCCTGTTAGGTTTTAAGCATGGGAATCTCTCTAGCCAACAAACTGCATTGAGATTTGTGTCTTAATAACATTCAGACAATAGAATTCAAGTATCTCTTGGGCTCTAGAGTCTATTCTGTTTATCTGTCTTTGCCCTTCCCTTTCCTTTTCCTCACTTTCTCTCTCTGTGTATGTATGCTTGTGTGTGTGTGTGTGTGCCAGTGTCAGTGTCAGTGTGTGTATGAAATGTTAAGATTGTTTTTAAGTGCAAAGTCTTGAGTTCATTCTCCAGTACCACCATATAATACATATAGATACATATGGCAATTGTATTTAATGACACAATAGGGCTGTCGTGGTATCTTTACTACTGCTACCTAAATTCCTAATATTGGTATTTTTTCTTTTTTTCAGATCAATATAGCTCAGATTTATCATTTTTCTTTTCTACTGACTTTTTGTTTTATATTTCCTTTATTTCTAATATTATTTTTTATCCTATTAATATTTTGCTTGGTTTTGGTTAGTTTGCTTTTTTTTTCTAGTTCTAAGATGAAAGTAGGGTCATTGGTCTGAGGTCTTCCTTTCTAATACAGGTGTTTCTTCCTAGATTAGCTACACTGCCAAATTCTGCTATGTTGAGTTTTAACTTTATTTCAGTTTAAAATACATTATGGTTACTCCTTTGATTCTGAAGATTATTTAAAGTATGTTTTTTTCAGATATTCTTTTTTAATAACTTTAATTTTATTTTTTTATTGTGAAAATACTGTACAGAGGGGTTACAATTACATGGGCAAGATAATGAGTACATTTCTTGTCAAACATTGCAGCCCCCTCCTTTGTTTCCCCTTCCCATCCATTCCCATCCTCCCCCAGCCCCCCCCCACCCAATCCTCCCCGCTTCCCCCCCCGCACCAAAGTTGTAAAGTTCATTTTTCAACATAACGTCTTGTACATCTCATTGTTGCAATGAGTCCACCTGTATCCCTATTTAAACAATTTGTTTTTCCCCTTCCCCTCCACAAATTATACGGACATCAAATACAGTGAAAGCAGGGGTTATACTGTGGGGGAGGGACATACAAAGCAACAAAGAAATAATCTTATAAATGTGTTAGAAACAATCGCATGGAAGAAAAGAAACATTTGAATATATATTTTAGGGTTTATTTCCCTAACATCACCTTATCTGACTAAAGTATGTTTTTTATATCTATCAATTATGAGGAGAAGAAGGGTATTGACTTCTCAGGTCATGATGGTGGATCTTTCTGTTTTTCTCATCAGTTCTGCCAGATTCTGTTATTTGACTATCTCTTTTTAGATGCATAAATATTTAAGGTTGCTTTTAATTCTCTTATTGCTTATAATATTCTTATTCTTGTGGGAATAAACTTTGTCTGATATTAATATAACATTTCAGTCTTCCTTCCTCTTTTTCCTTCCTTCATTTCTACTTTCCCTCCTTCCTTCCTTAATTCCTTTCTTCTATCCTTTTCTCCCTCCTTCCCTTGCTCCCTCTCTCTTTCATATATTTCTCTCTCTTCATTCTTGTCTGATGTAACATTATTTTCTATATAGTTCTAGAAACTGATAGATCAGACACTAAGTCATTTTGTTCAGCTGTTTCTGAACAGCTGTTTCTGTAATTTTCCCCCTTT